GCTGCGAGCAGACTGAATTTTGAAGATCGGATATATATGTGTGTGCGTGCGTGCGTGCGTGCGTGCGTGCGTGTGTGTGTGTGTGTGTGTGTGTGTGTGTGTGTGTGTGTGTGTGTGTGTGTGTATACCCTCTAGATAGATAGACAGACAGAGATACATTATTTGTATTTAACGCAGACTGCTTGGAGACGAGCACCGGATTCGGGACTCGGTAGATCTGCGCAGCGAAAACCGTATCCAGAGGCAGATGGTTTATATGAATATATTTATTATTACGACAGTAGATGGCATAAAATATTTCCTCGTCGCATTACGACAGACGAGCGCATTCACGCGTGACTCGCGCGCGTGAATATCACAACCTCACCTTCGTGACGCGTGTTACCCTTCCGATACCAACACACGCGCGCTCGGCTCGTGAACATGCATCGAAAAATAGTAGTAATCAAAGGCGCTGAGGAAAGCTGAAATCGTGGAGCGTTAGTTTGTACGTACGCGCGAATATAGATATCACATAATATCAGGAGTCTATTAATATATTGATAGACTCCTGATAATATGTTATTCGAATAGCGGTGTTTCACATGAACTGTAAGGTGTTGACGCCATGTGTGACGTAAGATGCAAGCAGGCCTCACGAGCTCACCGCGCATGGGTAAATATACGTGTTTAGTAAAGGTACATGTTTAGTTCGGTACGTATTTAGCACAGGTACGTATTTAGCACAGGTATGTATTTAGCACAGGTACGTATTTAGCACAGGTACGTGTTTAGTACAGGTACGTGTTTAGTACGGGTACGTGTTTATTGCGGATAAATATTTGGTACGGATACGTGTATAGTTTGTGTACGTATTTAGCACAAGTACGCGTTTAGTACAAGTAAGTATTTGGTACACGTACCCATTAGGTTTAGATACGTGTTTGGTGCTACATACAGATCAAGACAAGTCGTCATCAGTACGCATGCAGTAATGTGCACACGCCGTATTTAACACCGTGTACAAGTTGAAATACGACCAGTTTTTAGTACCGCGTACGAATGTTCATAAGCCATCATTAGTGGTGCTTAAAAGTATACATAAACAGTCTTGAGTACGGTGATCACCACGTACGCGTATGAATAACCTGTCTTTAGGGAAATTTGTGTTTTTAAGCCGTCTTTAGTACCGCGCACAAGTTGGCGCATCACCTGTTTTTAGTACTGCATACGTGTCGATATAAGCAGTGTTTAGTACTGAAAAACTGTGTATACAAGTTGTATTTAGTACTGCATACATAAGTAGGTATATTTCAGGTCATTAGCACTAAAATACGCGGTGCGTGTAGGAACTGTTATATTCCCGCGAGCAGGTAGGCATTTAAACCCTCGTCAATATAGAAATAGCTGCCGATGAAAATAATGCCAATTAATATTTATTAATTAAACCCTCGTCATTAATCGCCCGATCTGAACATAGGTGACCACGAGTGACCTCGTCGCACGAGTCACGTGCACGCCGACAAACGAGACCGATGACGTCACGAATGGCTAACCTCCCCAGATAACCTATCGGGGATATCCCCGGGATGAGAAGAGTCCGTACATATGACGAGAAACGAGCATAGAGGAAGCCTGCATTATACCTACCAATTATATATAGTTCAGGGCGGTGCTGCAAACCGCTATACTTCTCCGCTGTACACCGCGTCGTACGAGGAAAGTGAAGCGTAACTATATACGTATAAACGACCTTCATCGAGAAATCAGCTGGGTGAATAGTAACTGAGTATCTGTGATAGTATCTCGGCAATGTGGTAGGCATCTATAGCTCGCGTGATGCGATCACTACCAGCGCCTGCTATTGCGAACAGCTCTCTCGGTTATATACGGAGAAGCAAGCATCGAAGCACAGCGAGGCTTCCCTTTCTCACGTTCTCCCGTTTCGTCAAGTGTGTAGTGCGGCGCGTCACCGCTAGGGGTCGCGCCGTAACGGGGCTCCGCAGGACTAGCCTCCCCCGTGCGGGGGCGCCACGGTCTGCGCCAGGCAGGTGGCGCAGCATCTGACGCGGAAGTAGTGAGTGCTGCACATGTGTTTCAGGGCGCCGCAAGAGGTCGCTCCCAGCATGTCATGGCACGAGCGCAGGGCTGCAGACGAAACGACATGGGCGCTTTTCATTACTACGTTCGATTAATTAAGACTGATTAGTAACTCATTAACAACTCATCACCAAGTTTAATTAATCACAATTAAATTCATAGATCCCGATACGTGAAGATTGATTCGTATCTATCGCGTTTGAAATGGTAACTAAATGAAACTACGTTCTAATATACGTTCGAAATCAGCATGTGTCGTGTTGCGCTCTTTTTCCATTGTTACGGGAAGTAAAAACACATGCAGCAACAGCCAATTGAACACACGTCTACTACTCGGCGGTAGCTACTCCACCACTATTCTATGGGAACACAATCAGGAGTACACGGACCGTAATCATCTCTGGTGATCTCTAACTCTCATCTACTTCTGATATTTTCACAATAGGTACCTTGCTTCGTCTGAGGACAATCGCGCGTGTTACAGCTCTGCATGGTGGCTGGCCTGCTGTCTGTATCACAGCCACCCGCTGGCTCGTCATTGGTCAGATCGACGCACCGGACATGACGTTTCCGTGTGCCGTCGCCGCACGTCAGGGAACACTACGAGACAGAAACGCAGGCACGTCGAAGCTGTCATGGCAACAGCGTTTTCGCGAGGAATTAATTTTCTATCGTTTCGATTAATTTAATGGCGAATGACGTGCTAGTACAGGTATGGTATGAGAGAAGATTATATATATATATATATATATATATGTCTCCGTCGTATGAACAATAACATTTATCGTATAGGTTTAATGCTGGTTTAATAACTGAAACAACAGGTTACAACTTAAACACGGCATCACAGCCAGCGAGGCTGGAGCTGCCACAAACGTCTACGCGTAGCTCGCGCTGCTAGCAAGTGCCAGCACAAAGTGACCGTTACGCACACCTGCTGCGTTGTCGAATGACCTACTGACTCGAAGCCATTTATGCAGACAGCTTGCCGTGAAAACAACTTAATCACATAGCGTGATTCGTATCACTTCTTCCCCTCCAGGGTGCAGCGACCCAGTCCACCCCCACGCCATACCTGACTACAGCGTCCAGCGACCCAGTCCACGCCTGCACTCATACCTGACTCCAGGGTTTAGCGACCCAGTCCACGCACGCATACACGTACCTCACTCCAGGGTCCAGCGACCCAGTCCACGCACGCATACACGTACCTCACTCCAGGGTCCAGAGACCCAGTCCACGCACACGCTAATGCCTGACTCCATGGTCCAGCGACCCAGTCCACCCCCACGCTCATACCTGACTCCAGGGTCCAGAGACCCAGCCCACGCACGCGTTCATACCTGACTCCAGGGACCAGCGACCCAGTCCACGCACGCACTCATACCTGACTCCAGGGACCAGCGACCCTGCCCACGCACGCGCTCATACCTGACTCCAGGGTCCAGCGACCCAGTCCACGCACGTCCGCATGCTGCAGGGATGTTCCACAGCCGGTCTGGCGCCCTCGTCACAGTGACCCTCTCTGGGGCAGAAAACCTGTCGCAGTCGCGAGCCGCCTCCACAAGTCACTGAACACTGCAGCGCAAGAGCAATTATCCACACACTCAGTCACTCACTAAACACCCGCGCTATATACCTATCATTGTAGTATGGTAGCACTAATTGCCACCGCATATTCATCACTAGCTATGGTGTCGCAATCACACAGGCATCAGATACTATGGTGTAACAATCATGTGACCATTACTAGCTATAGCTCGCAATATTACTTAGCCATCACTAGCTATGGTTTGGTAACCATATATATATATGCATCATAAGCTATGGTGCAGTAATCACATAGGCATTACCAGCTACGGTGTGACAATCATTTAGCCATTGCTAGCTATGTATTTGCACGTATATCGTGATCTCACGTAGCATGCCCTATCATGAGCATAAACCACATATCAAAACGGGATTTTGGGTATTTGACCGCCGCTCGGACCACCTACCGTCGTCCAGTTGGTCATCACCCAGTCCAGACATAGACTGCAGTCACGTCTCTCCGTGGGTTGCTCCAGCTTCTCGCACTGCCGTAGCGGCAGCGGCGTGCCCGAAGTCTCATCGATGCAGTCTACGGAGCGGGATTGCGTGCCTCCACCACATGGACTAGAACACTGCGAGGCCATAACAGCCGTTGAAACACATGAAACACACATTATCATACGTGATACACATGCATGAGACACAGAAAAACACGTAAAACACATGATGCACGTAAAACACATGAAACACATGAAACACATAATAACTGCCCCTTGACACCTGTCGCAAGTTACGATCACTGTTACAACCATGCGACGCTGCGACGTCGTATAGCAAGCACCCCGCCATCACTCTGCCACCATCTCACAACGGTGAGTCGTGATCAACACGAGCTTACTGCACTCACCTCACTCCAGTTGCCGACGCTCCACGTGGGCAGCCGGGCAGGAATGTCGTCACCGCCCTCGTCAGCACCTCCCGAATCCCCGTCAGAGGGCGCCGGCGACGCGCGCCGACTTACTGCGTCTAGCTGCGCCTGCGCGCGTTCAATCGCCTGCTCGAGGCGTCTGGCATCGGCCGCCATTTTGTGACCAGTGGCGCCCTCTGTGTGTACCACGATCTTGCCGTTGGCATCGACGTCGGCGATGAGAAACTCTGAGTAGAAGTCGTCGCGCACGATCTCACGCGGTGGCTTGTCGCCGCGACCGTGGCGCCGCCGTGTGCCGTGTGCGTGGCTTCCTGATTCAGTAGGTTCGTCTAGCGGCTGCAGCTCTTCCTCATCTTCTTCCTCTGTTGCCCCCGCGTGCACATCTTGCTCATGCTTTTCTGTTTTCTCCTTCCGTTGGCCTTCATTGTCTTGTGCCTTGTCTTGACTCTTCTCTTCGCTGTCTTCTGCTCGTGTCTTTTCTTGGCTCTCTTTCGCATCTTGCTCCGGTCCTTTCTTCTCTTGGGCATCCTCTTTCTCTTCTTCTTCCTCTTCTTCTTTTTCTTCTTCGTTTTCTTCTTTTGCTTTTTCTTGTCCCTCTTCTGTCTCCTTTTCCATAAATACCTTTTGCTCTCCGCCGGTTGCATCTACTGAAACCGTAACCGCCACGTACTTCATTTCCTCTTCCTCCTCTAGCTGGCGGACAATTACTACAGGATCGTCACTGAGACCTGCAATTATTACCACAAGGGGCGCTCATATCAGTCATAACGCTTCGTGGTGTAACGTCAATTTCGCGTTGTAATAATTATATGGCCAATTGCAAGATAGTAATATATATATATGTATATATAAGAATAAAGTTGTTAGATTGAGATGAAATTTTTAGGCATTGATAGGAAAGAGGTGAGAGAGGCCGGAGCGTGAGAAGGAAAGTGAAAGACGGTAAGGAGGAGGGCAGAAAGACGAGAGAGAGGAGGCGATATAGAGAGAGACAGCGACAGAGAGAGAAAGTAAGATGAAGAGATGGAGGGTTGTTCAGAGAGATAGATAGATAGATAGATAGATAGATAGATAGATAGATAGATAGATAGATAGATAGATAGATAGATAGATAGAGATAGAGAGCGAGAGAGAGGGAAAGGAGAGATAGTTAGAACTTACCTGTGATGTCTTGTAATTTCTCCCCGCTCCCCGTCTCCAGCAATTCAATAGTCTTTTCCACGGGCTTCGTCAGAAAATCAAGGCTATCCGGTGGACACTGTCCCAGGTTACACGCCTGTAGAGTAACACGTCATAAACTCGCATCATTACACGCCAATAATTACGTGAAAACACATCATGATAACAGGAGTGAATAAAAATCAAATTTATCACAACATTTTTATTAACCCCTGATGTTAGCGTCATCACTCACAATATTTCTATTCAACGGAGGTATATTTGTGGACGGATATCAACATTATATTAATAAGACAATTATATATCCCCCTTCTGATAAATATTAAATAAAAACACCAATCGCCGTAATTCTAGTAACAAATCGACGCACGTACAAATCTGACAACAATATATATATATATATATATATATATATATATATTGTTATATTGTTATATAATATAAATATAACATCATTTACATTCCAATACACCACGTATTTGTATGGATGCGTTGCTTATTTTATTATATCTATATGGATTTCTTTGCAAGAAGCTTCTACGGTGGCCACCATAGAAATAATATAGATAACCTATATTATCTATATTATTATTTTTATTATTATTATTATTATATTATATTATTATTATCTATATTATTTCTATGGTGGCCACTATCAGGGAGTGGTGCATTATGGGATGCATCTTACCTGCAGGGCGCGTGGCTGAGATGAGCGGTCACATGTTGTGCCATGCTTACACAGCACCTTACGGAACTGTATGCCTCTATCGCACGTCGACGTGCACTGAATCAATCAATCAATCAGTCAGTCAATCAAATCGATCATCAATCAATTAGTAAAGTTCGCAATTTACAAAAACGATCAATCAATCAATTGATCGATCGATCAATCGAGTGATCGATTCACCACCTGATTATTTAAACAATACAGTAGGCCTAATAAAAAACTTATCCAATCATCCAATGAGATATTTAATCAACAGAGTAGCCCAATTTTCTACGAACTTGAATATAATAAATAAAGTGTGCACTTACTCTTACATGTAAAACGTACTTATAATTCAACTTCCGTTTTAACAACACATGGGTTATTTTTAAATATCAAAGATTCCATTATAAGAGGCTGATGAAAAGAACATTACTGTCAGTTATGGGCAGGTTTCAGCTATATATACAAATAACAGGTCGAAGCCAATGTCATTTACCAATGATGTCTATATGAAAAAGATAATATTATCATACGATATATGAAGACAAAATAATACCTTATAGGCCTATGCAGATTTAGTAAGTCGTTATATCAAGATTTAGTGAGACTTTATACGATGGTTCAATAACACCTCATAGGAGAGTGCATGTAATAACAGCTCAAGGGATGCGTCGGTTACCTGAGACCACTTGGTGGTTACCCAGACGCCACAGTTCGTCGCCGTGCGGCATGGCTGCTTGCTGGACGGGACGCAGCATCATGTTGCACAGTGTCGCCTGGCTTCATGCACGTGACTGTTCGTCTCTCATGACTGCACGACCGCGCCGCACACGTCTGAAACACGTACGGCACACGTAGTGGTAACAACGTATATGTTCATTTATTTATTTATTTATTTATTTGTTTATTTATTTAATTATTTATTTATTTATTTATTTATTTATTTATTTAATTTAATTATTATTTTTTAATATTATATATTTATTTAATTTATTTATCTACACTTATGTTCTGTCTGTTTATTTACTTGTTTATTTAGTTGTGTCCTTTTGGCTTTATTCGTGGAAAATGTTTGTTTTTATCGCAAATAAGTCGAAGATGATCAACATGGCGAAGGAAAACACATATCACCGCGGCCGCACCCGCCCGCACACACAACGACTCATTCTCCTCTCTCTCTCACACACGACACACACCACCCCACACCCACAACACACACAACACACACACACACACACACACTCACACACATACACAACGCACGCGCGCGCACACCGCACGCACACAACTCACCACACACCACACACGCACGCACGCACAGCGCGCCGCGCGCGGCGCACACACATACTTGTATCCCACTGACCGACGCTCCACTCCAGCTCCAGGGACAGGGCGCTTGCTTATGCACGACCGACGTCGTTTGTTTCGGCTGTGCGTGCAGTCGCCGTCCCATGGAGTGCTAGCTGCTCGTCCGGCCCCAGGCTGCGCACGCAGGCTGACTGTGCGCCGATGCAGCCCTCGCTACCACAGGTGACGGAACAGTGCTGCCACGGTCCCACCCACCAGCTGTAACACACGCATTTAATCTAATATATGATTTGAGTTCGTATGTATCTATGTATCTATGTATCTATGTATGCTATGTATGTATCTTCCTATAGGGGCCAAACCGCCCAAGCGATCTGGATGCAATTTTCACAGGGCCATCTCTTATACCCGGGGAGTGTTCGTAGCTGAAAAAACCCTGCCAAGCCGTCAAACTCACCGAAAAATCCGTGAAAAACCCCTCAATTCGTCAATCTTCACACGTTGTCAAGCATGACTGTACAGTGCTGCCACACAGAGAAAAAATCGATCACTCATTCCATCAGCTGCTGGTATTGTGAACCGAAACCGAGCACGCGAGCTAAAACATACCAGCACAGCCAGTTCAGAGGTTGCGACTGCATTGTTTCTCAACAGCTTTGAAATGAGAAGCGCAACCCATTCGTACATGCTGTTACATGCCGTACGTGCCATACGTGCATGCCGTACGTGGGGAGCTTTTCCCATGCTTATTATCTTATTAGACTGATTTCTAATATTCACTATGTGTGCGCAATGTTATTGTCGATTTTAGCCCAATGTTCCTATGTGTTCGCATATTAGTAGTATGAATTAGTAGCACGATTTTACCAGCGCAGCGGTACCAGCAGCTAGTCTAATATATATTTGAGTCGTATGTATGTATCTATGTATCTATGTATCTATGTATCTATGTATCTTTCCCTATAGGCGGCAAAACCGCCCAAGCGATCTGGATGCAATTTTCACAGGGCCATCTCTTATACCCGGGAGTGTTCGTAGTTGAAAAAAACCTGCCAAACGCGTCAAACTCACCGAAAAATCCGTGAAAAACCCTCAATTCGTCAATCTTCACACATTGTCAGCACTGACTGTACAGTGCTGCCACACACAGAAAAAATCGATCACTCATTCCATCAGCTGCTGGTATTGTGAAACGGCGAAAGCAATACTAAAACACACCAACAACCAGGAGGATGAGTAATTCCATTTCTCCCACCTAACCAGCTGCTGCTATTGTGAAACCCAAAGCCAATACTAAACTAAACCACCCAGTCAAACAGTTCAGCAGAAAGCAGACAGAGAAACACAGTTGAGAGGTTAGGACTGTAACATTTACCTACTACACTGAGGTTAGGACGCGTAACAAGTGAGTAAACATTCTGTTATATATTCAAAATTTCCCCACTCGCTGGCCTGTCCCGTATACTATGTATCCATTTTGTTATTCATCTACATCTCACAATGCATTCTACCATTCAAAGCTATGCCTTATCTCATTCAGTACAATCTTGCGCACGGACGCTCTGCTGCTCATTGCGTGTGTGTGTGTGTGTGTGTGTGTGTGTGGTGTTGTGTGTGTGCGTGGGCGTTGGCGTGTGCGTGCGTGCGGCGTGGTGGCGGCTTGCGTGGCATGTGCGTGTGTCAGCGTGTGAAGTTGGCACAGGTGTGTGTGTGTGTGTGTGCTGTGGCTGTGTGTGTGTGTGTGTGTTCAGTCTGTGTGTCTGTGTGTGTGTGTGTGTGATGTGTGTGGTGTCTGTGTGTGTGTGTGTGTGATGTGTGTGTGTGTGTGTGTGTGTCTGTGTGTATGTGTGTGTGTGTGTGTGTGCCGATGCTGTGTGTCGTGAGAGACAGCGAGAGAGGTGTGCTAGTGTTGTGTGCTATTCGTGTGTGTGTGTGTGTGTGTGTGTGTGTGTGGTGTGTATGTTGTGTTGTGTGTGTGTGTGTGTGATGTGTGTGTGAGACAGAGGAGAGAGAGAGACACAACATTACCGTTGGCGCAATCATGCGTGTACGCGAGTCGCGAGATCACTGTGTATGCATGCCCGGATGCCGTAGGCCTGGAGGCTAGCGACGCCCGGCACTCTCGCTTCGCCTGTCTGTATAGCTATGGCATTCACTAGAACAATATCCAGTGCCACACCTCCACTCGCTGGCCTGTCTGTATACTATAATACATCATTGTTTTTTGCATGCTACGATCTCACCAATGCATTGTACCATTCCAAAGCTAGCTTTTCTGATTCAAGTAGGAAAATTCGTTAATTTAATGTGCATTGTTTGCGCACCAACATGTTCCTAGACAATATCAGTGCACACACCGAGGTCTTCCGATAATATCCGAGCAACCAAGGCTTATATAAGGCTATTCCGTATTCTGTTCTAACGTCCGTACGTGGCCATACAACTATAGCAGATGCCGCCCTAGCGTCCCCACATTGCACGCAATCACGAAGCTACAGCAAAGCTAAGCTTCAGACACAAACTCCGGAAAGTCAGCTCAGGCCCGTCTACACCAAAATGCGAGCAGCGGGCAGCAGGCCGTCGCGACACAGGAGACTCCCGAAGTCCATCGGGTCCGTCTACACACAAATGCCGAGGCTAGCGGCAGCAGCCGTCCGGACAACAGGAGACTCCCGAAGTCCATCAGGTCCGCGTCTACACCAAATGCAGAGACGGGAAGGCAGCCGCCCGACAACATCAGACTCACGAATCCATCGGCCGTCTACACCAAATGCGAGGCCCGGCAGCAGCCGTCCGAATACAGGAGACTCCCGAAGTCCATCAGGTGCGTCTACACCAATGCGAGAGACGGAAGCAGCGCGCCGACAACATCAGACTCCCGAACTCGCATCAGCCCGTCTATCACCAAATGCTAAGAGACTGCACAGGCCGCCCACAACAGGAGACTAGCTCGAAGTCCATCAGGCGCCGTCTACCCAACTGCGAGAGAACGGCAGCAGCGCCCGACAGTCATGCAGACTCCGAGAGTCCATCAGGCCCGTCTACACGCAAATGGCGAGACAGCGGAGGCACGTCGACAACAAGGAACTCCATAAGTCCATACAGGCCGGTTACACCAAATGCGAGACACGGCAGCAGGCCGTCCGACAAAGGAAGACTCCCGAAGTCCATCAGGCAACGTTTCACAAGCAACATGCGGTGTCACCAATGCGCATAATAGGGCAGCGCCTTTTCAACACCTCATCGGCTGCTTTCACTTACCACCCCGCCAATTCAGTTACTTCTTTCTTACGGCCCTATTGGAGGAATGAACCAACATCTGTGCTTTCTGGTCTTTGCAAGAAATGGCCAAGCAGAACCGAAGGGTCTCAGCTGTTCTGGAGGCAAAGTTAATCCACCAATTGCAACGACCAAGAGGCCCCTCAGGCAACTACTCAATGGGCAAAACGGCAGATTCCAGGCACTCCTGAGCAACATCCGTCATACAACTCCTCCTTCCAGATGACGTCATTTGGGCAACTACCGTTCACACCAATGTGGTCCAACATTCAAGTCAGGACAGGTGATTACCGATCGAAATTGTATCATTGCTAACCCTTACCTGATGAGGAATCAGCAATTCCTACACTATACTTCATATTCCGACATGGATGCAACAGGTACAGAGCCGGCGGCCCCGTGCGAACTTCAGCCAGCAAGAGCACGAATATAACGTTGTCTCGCCTGCAAGCAGATTGCTGCAGGCGAATATCAACACCCTATGTAACCAGCTTGAAGGTATCGTTGGAGCAATGTTCCTGCCCGCTGACTACAACTATTGCTCATGCAATGCGGACAGCGCCCCGCAGGGGAACACGAACGTCGCTTCAACTGCACGCGGTCACAAAATGAAGTTGCCTTGTCCATCAAATGCAGGGCAGGAGCCACGGTTATCGTGACATTGCCCTCCCACCAATCGTGATGCCACCATAAACAAATACACGACACACACCGTTCGTATGATGCCGCTTCAATATCCTCTCATTTGTGTGCCGTGGGCGACGAAATGGCTACCACTTTGCGCATCAATCCGTCGACGGCGGCATTCACCAGGTGTCAGGCACCTCACAAAAACAGTTTCGTGTAAGGATTTTATATGGCGCTAGCCGGTTTATGAGTCGCGATTGTTAGCTTTAAATACGTCATCCTTCTGCTGCAGGCCCTCTCCACCAGTCACGCTGTAGACATCGTTCTTGCCCAAAGTCGAGTCGGGAGAGACTGCTCTAGCATTAGGACGCATCAGCGTGACTACGGTGCGAACAGTACGTCATCTCAAGGGATGGCATTAA